CACCATGACCCTCAAAAGGTCAAACAAAGTCACTGACCTTGGATGAGCATGCGACCTTTTTCCTATAATAGTTATCTAGTTTCTAGAAGCCTCTTGGAGACCAACCTGGATTTGACCTTTTTCGACCTTATTTGACCCGAAGGTCATGACCTAGGAGGCTCAAACTTTGACCAAAGTGAGTTCACGTACGGGTAAACACTGCCAATTGGATGTCTCTAGCTCTCTTAGTTCCTGAGATATCAGGTGGGTCAAATTGACCGCCACCCGAACGAACGGTATCCAACCGGCCACCCGGGTGCGCGCTAAACGAGACTGTTTCCGTAATTGGGCCTTGGCCTGTAGAAAGCTTACAGCAAAGTCAACAATAACCAGAAACAAACACATACCACGGCAGCAAGTGACGCCTTCCACACTCTTGAGGAATGAATGAAAAAGGAAGATCTGGACCGCAATCGATGGATGATGCAGAATGAAATGTTTAGGTCTCACTTCTTAACTTGGCACTTCATGATGAGCATTACAGATCTAGCGATGGACCACGGTCACACCTTATGGCGGTGGCAGAATGCTTAATGCAAATTACAAGTTGTTGCGGCTTGACGTGACACTCTATGATGAACATTATGCCGACATAACGTAAAAAGTTACCACAACGCCAGATAACTGATGACAACAAAATCAATGAGTGATGAATGTCACGAAATCAGAACAACAGTTGCTGATTAACGGTCACAGGGTTTCTCCATCCGGTGGGCGACCACGAGGAAGGTTTTTCGCGCGGAAAGTAAAGGTGTGTTTTGCCCCCCCCCCCCAAAAAAAAAAAATTAGGGTGCCCCTTTCCCCAAACCAAAGTCATTACAGCTTCCCATATATTGCTAAAATTCCGATCAAGGAGGCCCCCACAGCTGAGCTAGAAAGCAATACATCAGGCTCAGACGACCCCTTTTAGATCAAGAGGTCCGCTTTCTGGACCATTAAAGTCACGTCTATGAATAAGGTTTCCCATGCTTTAGATCAATATATCTAATCATCTGTTGAAGGGGTCCTTTTGTTGGTTCGGGAGGCCCCGTTACAAGCAAGGAGATCCCTGTTCGCAGTCATGACGCACCCTTTACATTCAGAAGGCCCTATTTCTGGAACAGGAGGCCCCCTTCATGCATCAGATGGCCACGGTTCCGGCTCGGTATCCTTGCCTTGGTCGGGCAATCAGTGTCTTGTATCGGGACAATGAGCCCCCTTGGCTAGAATTGGAGGCCCCATTCGTGAATCGGAAGCATCTTGTTCTGGATTAAGACTTCCCTCTATGCGTCAGGAGGGTCTTTTTGGATCAGGAGGCCTTGCTTAGGTTAGCGAGACCCTTTTCTGGAAAATGAGAAGGCTCCCATTCATAATTTTGTAATTTATAAGGGATCACCGGCCCTTGGTACCCGATATTCCTTGAATACAACGCCGCCCCCCCCCCCTCCCCTGTGAACTAGTTCCATTTCGTTCAGAAGTCCACCTTAATTCGTGGACAGCCTCTGGGGCCATGCTGGTGGGCCGTCTCTGGGGCCATGATCGTGGGCCGCCTGTGAGACCATGATCGTGGACCGCCACTAGGGCCATGATCGTGGGCGGCCACTGGGGCCATGATCCACACATTAACCCACGTCATGCTTTTACTGGGTGCGTCATAAATTTCGAGAGTTGTCATCCCCGCGCACAAGATATGCGTTCTACTCCCACCCCCCTTCTGACATACTGGGCAGTCTTTTAGAGATGAGAGACCAGGGGCATCACTTTGTATACTTTTGGGGAGGCGGCTGAGTCCTATAATACTGAGCTGAGGTCCCCGTAATGCTCCTCTAAGTCTTCTTAATGCATAGGAGCAGGGAGGGCATACTGGGTCAAATAAATATATAACAATTATTTGAGCTATTGGTAAAATAATTGGTAGGTACGTCAACGTATCACTATAAGTCACATGCTAATTTGGTATCAAATAGTGTCCTGTAGGAAGGTATCCTGTATCCTGTATAGTATCCGATAGGTATGCGATGTTTTGAATGACAAACTCCTTCATGCGTTAAGCCAATTTGCAAATGTTTGGCAAGTTTGTTAGATTATGATGCTTGGATTGGGATAGATAACAGTTGACTGCGATATGCGGCAGCTTTTAAAAGTACAGGGTGGCCCAGACAGCAATTGACGCATGTTTTCCCGAACAATGTAAAGGGCATTTATCGCATAATCGTAGCTGTGGTGGTTATACGAGGCGATCGGGGACAGCGCCAGTCATCAGTGATCCATTGCTATGGCGTTTGCTGTAAATCATATTGCATTCTAAGCTTTTAACAAAAGGCGGCTCACATGAACTTAAAATAGAAGTAAGCCACAAGCAATTTTGGCATTTAATGAACATCAAACAAGGTTTTTTATTATAACATCGAAGATGCAAATTCAAGCGACCGAAATCCGCAAAGAGTTCAGGTTTTGGGGGTAGGTTAGGCCAACCTTTTCGACTGAGTCCCTTAGCTGGTTTGAGACAGTGCCATTCGTGTAAGGGGCCCGCAAAATTCTGACTGCATAATTTAGTAGACAAGCTGATTTTGTGTTATTTGTAGACAGTGCAAGGTGGTTTATTGATTCCAGCTCGAGGTGTGCACCCGTCCCTGCGAGAGGCAGGATGCAGGCGCTGCTCCGGCCGTCGGGGTCCGACACTGTGCACCCCGCCGCCGCCCGAGCTGCTCCGGCTTCCTGTTCCTCTGTTTGGCCGCCGCCTGACCTGAGGTGGCACCTTTCCGACGCGGCGTCTTTGCCAGACTGACACACGGCTTCCTGACCATGCTGAATTTGATATGATCTGACTTGTATGCTACAGAATGACTGTAGGTGTATGTATTTAATTATGGCACATTTTCCGTGCATTATACTTTTGGGCGAGAGGCTGTTAGCACGCACTCGGGTGGGGGTCAAATGGATCCCCCGAAGGTTTTTTTCGGAAGTTTCCGAACGGCGCGGCGTAGTCGCGCCAAATTTTGCATAGCTGTAGATAATAGAATAGTGGATCGTTTGGAAGCACAAATGTAAAAGTACATCGTAAAGTTGCTGACCTATGGCAGGTCAAAGTCAAGCTATGGTTTCAGCGAACTCAATTTCTAGGGAATCGTTCAGTCTGATGCAAAAACGATGTGTTAGACAAAGCCATACATCTCTGAGATGCTTTCTTAGACAACACAACAGTTGAATGAGCAAATTACATTAAACTATGGTCAGGTATGAAGGTCGGACCAGGGTCAAACTAACCTATTTTATTTCTCTAGGGCTTGCTGTATTGGGCAGTTTCTGGTGCTCATTTCCAATTTATTGACAGCAGGAACTGCATTACATTTCGTCATGGACTTCTCAGAGGTCAGAATAGGTCACTCACCTCAAATGACCCAGGTCAACATTTTGTTTTTTGGAACGTACTGTCGAGCGTAATCTTTGTCGCTTATTTAAATGCAAAACCCAGAGCAGCTTGCATGATTTTGGCCACCATGACATTCAAAAGGTCAAACAAGGTCACTGACCTTAAATGGGCATGCGACCTTTTGTTTAGAAACGGCTATTTAGGTTCTGGAGTCACTTTGGAGACCAGCCTGCAATTTGACATTGTTTGACCTCATTTGACCCGAAGGTCATAACCTACAAACCTCAAAATTTGACCTAAGTGATTTCACGTACAGGTCAACACACCCCGTAAAATTGGTGTCTCTAGCCCTCTTAGTTCCCGAGATCTCAGAGGGAGGGGGGGGGGGAAATTGACCCCCACCCGAACGAGGAGTATCCAGCCGGCCACCCGGGCGCGTGTTAAAGCCGCAGGTCAATTGCGGATTGACCTGGTAAAAGCATGCATCTGCATCTGTATGTAAATCATAGTTTGCGAAATAATCTATGCGTGACATGTCATAAACGTGACATGACTACACGTGACGTATCATAAGCGTGAGGCCATGAATGCCTAACGTTGAATGACTGGTCGTGGCAAGCCCCCACCCGTCACGTCCGGGTTTAGCCGCTCCTCGTGCTCCACACCTCAAAACGCACGTGGAGCGTCGTAAGTCCAGCTGCGGTCCCATCCGTCCCCCAAACCACCAGACCACAGCACATAGCACGTCTTTTTCTTCGGCTATGTCGTGACCCCACACTGCCCGTGACATGCCAAAAATTCTGTAGAAGTGGTAAGTGGTAGGCGGAGTGGAAAAGGCCAAATAAATAAAACCAAATAAATCAAAAGGCACCGCACCTACGCGATGGATATCTAGGGTTTTCGCAAATGGTGAGCAGGGGCTGCGATCCTGACTTGATCTCTGCATCACGTAATTCGATCAAACCTATTGTGAGCAGGGGCTGCGATCCCGACACGATCTCTGCATCACGTGATTCGATCAAACCTCTACACACAACAAACCAGAGCAGCACCCGTGAAAGGCGCCGGCTGCCGTCAGCGTCTGGGCCCGGTCGGAGCCGGAGCTCTCCGAGGACCGAGCCCGGTCGGAGCCGGAGCTCTCCGAGGACCGAGCCCGGTCAGAGCCGAAGCTCTCCGAAGACCGAGCCCGGTCGGAACCGGGTTTTTTTTGAGGACCTGGTCCGGCCGGAGCCGGGGCGCCGTCCGAAGACCTGGCCCGGCCGGGGCCGATCCTCCGAGGACCTGGTCCGGCTGGAGCCGGCTCTCCGAGGACCTGGTCCGGCCGGAGCCGGGGCGCCGTCCGAAGACCTGGCCCGGCCGGGGCCGATCCTCCGAGGACCTGGTCCGGCTGGAGCCGGCTCTCCGAGGACCTGGTCCGGCCGGAGCCAGCCCTCCAACAACCTGGTCAGCCGGATCTCCAAGGACCTGGCCCGGCCGGCGCGGCCGGGCGCTGCTACGCGGCGGTCTGTTTGTTCGGACCACGTGACCCCGCTCTGTGTCGTCGCTAGCCGCGGCGCGTGCCGGGAATCGCTCACATGGGGGGAGGGGGCAGAGGGGCCGCAGTCGCTGACCGAGCCAGCCGGGCGGCGGGAGAGCCTGTGCTGGCGAGGAGCGGACGACAGGATACTAAGGGGCAGGAGAGCGCCGGAAAGGCATTGCAGCGGCAGCGGACTTGAGGTCGAGCTGGCGAAGCCGGTTGGGGTGCGTCGTACCGAAGGACAGTGACCGACAGTGATCGGCAAGAGTGTGGCGTCAAGAGGACGGCACTAGCCGATCAGGGGGTAAAGCAGCACGTCGCTCGCAATTTATACGGAAACCGGCGGTGGGACAACGCCCCATCCAACCAAAGAAATCGGCCACAGACGGTGTCAGTCCTCATTGGAGGTGTTCAATCTAGCGCGACATCAGTGAGAAGCTCGAGTGTGTGTCTCTCCAACAGCCCAAGGCGTGACGTCACCCAGCACCCAGTCGCCGACGATCAGCTCGCTTTAATATCCCGCCGGCACGGTACGTATTGGTTGGTCAGGTGAGGACCAGTTTCAAGGTCACCTTGCCCTCCCTTCAGATTAGAACCAAGCAACATAGCTCTTCTGGATTTTGTTGAGCGTCGATGCCAGCCGTGGTACGTGAGGCTGTGACAAAAACTATGTGTGGCGGAAGGTTCTCGGCTAATGAACGCATGACAAAATACCGTCAAAAGATCGCCAGCATGGTTTCGCGAGAAGAAAGCTGTAGCTGCGGAGCAAAACACCACGTGACCAAATATGAAAACGCTTCTATAAAAAGGAGGAAAGGGAAGGTAGTGCGACATAGGAACCTGAAAGGACAGTTGAAATAACCGTGGCTGCAAAACGATATTGAAAAGACTGCCAGGGATGGTGAGAAGAATAAATATCCATACTGGTGATGTCGTCGGGGAAAACGATGATAACTGACAACATAACTGTGATCTAACATAAAATAATCCGGCTTATTCAAACACAACACAGATTAGCCGGCTCAAAACGAGCCTGAGACCTTTTACCATATTCGATTTCTTTTAAATATGCCGTTCTGTCCCGCGACATTTACATTTTGTGATCTGCAATCACAGCGAGCCTTTACCATTATGATATGCAGCCTGTACACTCTTCCATAAGCTGTGCGTTGCACTGACAGCATCTTCCGTAAAAGTTTTTACACCCAACTCAGAATGGTAATATGGTCAGTTCCTTGTGCTTTTAGGGTTCCGAAGTGTAATTGCTTGTGCTCTTGGAGGCAGTTTCCTGTGATTTAATGGAAAACCTTACGCAAATACCATATTCGCAAAGCTATCATCTCTCCTTAAGAATTGTGTTTTATTGAACTCAGTATTGGACCTGGTTTTAGAAGGTCATTTCGCGACTGCGCTAGCCCCATTAAATGGTCTTCAAGCCTTATTGCGAGTTTGTTGCAAGTTTGTTGGAAAGAGTAAAGGTTCTATCAACCTTTTTTCAGGATTGCATTCCAGAATCACTCCCATCATGGAGCAACAAACTAGAAAAGATGGACTGTTTTCGTGCATAATTACCAATACAACGTCGATTACTTCATTTTTGTGATTCCATGCCACTCATGCATACTGCCAGGATGTTTATTTTCCCACCTACCCATGACTCGTGGAGCATGAATAAAACTGTGAGCATGGGTAAACAACGACCATGATTAACAAGAAGGCCCACTGGTAGTCAGTCCACCACAAAATGACTCCATGAGACCGATCGTACTTCAACGAGCCGCTCAGTGGCCTGTGTGGCTTCTCCGCCCCTGTCGCCTTCTGTTGTATACAGACGTGAGCACCGTTCCCAGCGCTGACAGATGACCTGCCCATGTACCGTCAGCGGCGACGTATGCGCTGACAGATGACCTGCCCATGTGCCGTCAGCGGCGACATATGCGCTGAACACCGCATCGTCTTCCCTCTCTGTGCCGATCACCGCCATGTCCACCGTTCTGTCATCGTCTGCACGATGACAGTGAGGTTTCCGCCACTGTAACAGTGATCTCCGCTGTTGTGACAGTGATCTCCGCCGTTGTGACAGTGATCTCTGCCTTGTGACATTGGTCTCCGCCGTTGTTACAGTGATCTCCGCCGTTGTGACAGTGGTCTCCGCCGTTGCGACAGCTTGGTCACCGCCGTTGTGACAGTGGTCTCCGCCGTTGTGACAGTGGTCTCGGCCTTGTGACATTGGTCTCCGCCGCTGTTACAGTGGTCTCCGCCGTTGTGACAGTGGTCACCGCCGTTGTGACAGTGGTCTCCGCCGTTGTGACAGTTGGTCACCGCCGTTGTGACAGTGGTCTCCGCCCTGTTCGCCCAGAGTCGGGCCAACGCTCGCCCTCCGGTTCGCCCCGCCCACGTCCACCTTGCCGCTCTGCTGACCAGCGGCGCGTCTTCCCCTCCGGCAGCCGCGGCACCATGGCTCGCCTCGTCTCAGAGCTGGACATCCAGCAGTTCGCCATGGACGGCGTGGTCTGCCTGCGCGGCGTCTTCTCCCAACACTGGGTGGACCTGGTGCGACGCGGCATCGACGCCAATATGGCGGCGCCCAGTCCGTTTGGAGAGAGTCTGAAGGTGGGCAGTGGCGCTTCTGACCGGACGGGACTGGCGCTCATATGGCACCACTCTCATACAGTGCGCGCGCGCGCGCGCGCGCGCGCGCGCGCGTGTGTGTGTGTGTGTGTGTGTGTGTGTGTGTGTTGTGTGTGTGTGTGTGCGCGCGCGCGCGCGCGCGTGTGTGCGGGTATGTGTTTATGAGGCACGTTCTTCAGGAGGAGACCGAGAAGTAAATATAGAGATGTGTGAACACATGAAATATAGACATCTACAGTAGCGAACGTATGTGGATTGATCACACATCTGCCAACCGATAGGTAGATTTAAGATTCAAGGCAAACCCCCAACTTGCTACGATTGCTAAATTTTCAGCTCATTATCTTCTCAATACTACACCGTTCCCTCGCAAAGACCTACCTGTACCAATATCCGACTTGAAACATAAATCTTGATCGGAAATGAAAATGGCCTGCTTTGAAACCCCTGGCGAGGAGGTAAATATAACCTATGCGACCGTTTGGTAAGCTTGTGCTGCGTATCTGGGCCTTACGATATTTTCTGTTATCATGCAGCGCTCATATACACAAACTGATGCAACGTGGAGTCACCACAAGCTGCCCAGTGCCAACAGACAGCATGCATTTCTCCCAACGCGCACGTGGATGGAGGCGGGTATCAATTTGTAAATTTTATATTTTATAGTGACGCGCAGTGAGACAGTTAGGGACACAGCTGTAGAAACGAGTAAAATGACTGGGGTATGCGTACATTCCAGCTGCATCTACCATCCATTAGCCGTGGACAGTTACACACATCTCCATCAGGAGAGGTGTCAGTAGCTGCATCGGGCATCAAGCGCGTGCACAATCTCTTGACGCCTCGTCGAAATCACATCCGATGATCGTTCAAATCATACATTCGATGACTACGATAACAGCTGGCATTAAAACGATCACATATTTTGCTTTGCTATGTCAATGCCGCACTGACACAACGCGGTACTTTGTCTAATTCTGCAACCTGACACCAATCCCATTCTTCCTTAGCGCAGCTTTAGGTCATCGGTGGTTTCAGCAACTCGGTAAGATTTGAGACATTCCAGACCAATCCGAACTGAACTGCATGCCGAAGCTCAAGCTACACGCGTTTACGGCTCTGATTTACCGTTCTCCCCGACTCTGACTGAGACTCGGATCTTCGTATTCACGGCACATTGGTTTGTCTTTTTACCACTCCTCATTTCGATATTTGCCATCCGCATGTCAAGGCAGACATTACCCAGGCTGACAACACTCAGGAGCGGGTAGAAAGGCATCAGGAAGGCTGTGCACCGCACTAGACATCCACACAGTGCAGGAGGGCGCACGCCTATCATAGTCAATTATTATTTGGTATGCAACAGCATTAGCCTTTAATATATTTAGTCTATAACAGCGTTAAGGAATTTAAGAATTTGCGCACTCCAGTGCAAGGGTTGCGTCACAGAAATGGCTGGCTGGGAGAGCCCCGCCCGCCGCTCCCGTCCTACGCGCCTTAGTACCAACATGCAGAGCCTCGTGATGTGACGGGACGGCGTCCCGAGCGGCGCAGTGCATGACGGTGCTGCACCACGCCGAAGCCGGTCGTGCCATCTCAGTTACCCTGACGTCGACTGGCACAGTCCCGCGCAGAACGGACGCGCGCGCGCGCCAGTACCGTCTGGCGCACAGCAGACCAGCGCACCCTCGTCTGGAACTGTTTACGGAGCTTAAGTTCACTACGCTGGCGGACGCGGCCTGGATGAAGGGGATACTGGGAGTCGTTAGAATTCAAGGCCGTTTGGTACAGGGTTGTAGTGGCTGGTTTGTTTGACGCATCCCGCCTTTTAAAGAGTGTTCCACATTTGTATAGAGTTTTGGACTGAAAAAACGATCTTGAACGTTATTCGGTGCAGTCCACAGCCCCGTTCTGTTGAGGCCTAAGCTCGTTTAGTTTCTGAGCTGCATGCCCGCGAATATGTGCAGGCTGTTTCGTGCAGACTATTAACGTCTTTCCAATCCTGACATTCTATGGACCATGTGGCGATTAAGGCCAATAAATATGTAATTACAGAGTCGGTCATATCTGGTGTTCGTGAGCACGATTTGCAGATAAAACGGTCGTCAATTGGTTTCCAATCAATGCTGTGCAAGGTACGGTGACGAAAGCAAGCACTGACGTACTGAGGAACATATCAACTAAGTAGAGAAATTGTGTTGTCCAGAGTAGTCTCCTCCAATTAATGGTATGCCAGTAGTTATGTGAGCTTATTTCATAAAATCTGATGCTTCAATAGCTTCAAACCGAAATTAATACAAAGTACCCGAAATTAGATAGCTGGGATGCTGATACTTTTCTCCTTGACGCGTGTGAGATTGGGAAGGCTACTCGTTTGTGGTTTACTAATCTCCTGCCTTGATTTTGACGGCTGAAGCGAGTAAGTTGCCTCCCGCAGCAGCAGTAACGGAATGCGTTTTGAAGCAATATCTTAAGCTGTTGTTTCGTTGGCGGCGTACTGTCCGATACGCTGGCGGAGCATCTGCGAAGGCAGTTTCACAGTTGGTGTTGGAGATTGTGCACCATGCCGTCCAGATGTCGGCACCAAATATCGATGAAAGTGCCATTCAACAGGCACGCTTACCGCGAACGAGAATCAAGTAAAATGAACCTTGTTGCCAGGAAGCAATGCCGAACAAATTTTGTGTGACCGATGCATAAAAATATGATGCTCGGGCACCTATTTATAAACATTCAACGACCTTTAGTTCGGCATGCCGGAGTCGATGTGAAACATCTTGTGGCCGGCCTCCGACGTTATCGGAATGGTAAAGGTTAGCGCTATGTGCATCACGGTGTTAACAAGTGATGCGAATATGCGTGGATCATGTCGTCGAGAATATGAGGTCTCATTTACCTCGTCAAGATAGGCCGGCGGTTCATTAACGCGCCATCTGCCTCTGGCCACACCAGGATAACGAGAATGAGGGGGCCTACTTCGACGACTACTGCAACTGGGAGAAGATCCCCGAGTTCAAGAATTTCATCATGGAGTCACCGGCTGCCGAGATCGCCGGGAGGTTGATGGAATCTCAGGTCAGTACGGCTAACACGATATCGGGTCAGGTCATGTCGGCTTGGAACAGAGCGCAGGTCGGCGGAGATGAACTGGTGACAGCCGGCTAGCGAAAGCCGTGATTGTTTTTATTGAGTCGAGGACGCACTTGAAGCTGGACCGGTGCCCAGCTGCCATGGCCGGATGCCAGCTCCCTCCTCGCATCTGGTGTGGCTCACGGTTCATATTCATTATAGATCCCCGCTCGTGATCAAGCTTTGTGAATTTGCTTTAATACCGGCCAGGTAGTGACAACATCGAGCTCATTAGGCCTCATTAGGGAACACAAAACGGGAGGATAAAAACTTTCCGATCTTTGTTTCAAGTTGTAGCCGACCTTAGTAACACTACTCAAGCACACCTTGTTGGCTTTGGTCATGTGCCTCGGCGGGATTTCATGTCAGGCATGCAGCATCCATGTTATAGTTCGCTTGCAATGTGTTCGCGACGCATGGGTTAAGCGACACTGAGGTGCACATACGTGCCCGGGTCCATGTTGTTAATATCAGCCGACCGCTTGCCGCAGTGTTCGCTCATATGCTGACCAAATTCTCCTCGTTCAGAGGTGCTACCGAAACATAACGTTGATGCACTCGCCATTGGCACGTCGTCCCCAACCGTATGAAGACGACTTTATTGAGCCGTGCTTTGGCAGAATCGGAGGAGGGGATGAGGAGAACAGGTCGCCTGCGGAGCAATGTCTCTGCGCCAGTTATGGCGCGTCCCAGGCCTCCCTTTGGTTCGTCCACTGATCGCTGACAGTAGTGTGATTGCAGGAAGCCGCTATTTACCACGAGCACGTGCTCAACAAGGAGCCGGGAACGGCCAAGCGCACCCCGTGGCACCACGACCAGAGTTACTACCCCATCGACGGCTCCAAGGTATGATGGGGGGGGGGGGGGGCGCGTCGAGCATCCCCTGCAGCGAGCTCTCGTCATACGTGCCCGTGACTCAGCTGCCACTCAGCGCTCATTCTATAGTCGTCGTTCACCTCTGAAGTCTCCTGGCTTTCAGGGCTGCCATACTGAAGTCTCCTGACTCTCAGGGCTGCCACACTTCTTGTCTTCAACCTGTCTCTTCTGTTTTCTTCCGCTTCTGTGGTCCTACTGTGCATCAATTACCAAAAGTTGAAACGTCCTATTTGGATCACTCTAGTCCTGTTGATAGTGTTGTCCTCCTTTTGTTAGGACTGTCAGGTCCTTTAGTCTAGCTCTGCCTTTCAGACCTGATGACTGACAGACCTGATGACTGATGACTGACTGCGGTACCCAGCGCTGTACCCCGGTCCGCTCATTGTGGTACCCCGGTCCCCAAGGCGCGGTAACCCACCTCCCTCGGCTGGCCGCCAGGTATGCAGCATCTGGATGCCGGTGGACCCGGTGCCGCTGGAGACGGCCATCTCGTTCGTGCGCGGCTCGCACCTCTGGAACGCGTGGTTCTACCCGCGCAAGTTCGCCACCGAGCAGCGGTACCCGCTGAGCGACGGCTCCGGAGCCGTGCACCGCCGGTACGAGGACGTACCCAGCGACGAGATCGACAGCGGTCAGCACGAGCTGCTGGCCTGGCCCATGGAGGTGAGCGGGGGGGGGGGGGGATCTCACCAGGCCCATGGAGATGTACGGGGGCTCACTGGATCCTTTGAGATGAACGGGGCCTCACTGGGCCCATGGAGGTGAGCAGGGTCTCACCAGGCCTATGGAGGTGAGAGGGGGTCTCAATGGAACCATGGAGCTGAGCGATGTCTCACTGGGCCCTTGGAGGTGAGCAGGGTCTCACCGAGCGCATCGAGGTGAGCACGGCCTCACGGGGCCATGACGGTGAGCAGGGTCTCACCGGGCCTATGGAACTGAGAGGGAGGGGGACTCACGGGGCCCATGCAGATGACCGGAGGTCTGACCTGGTACAACGAAGTGACGAGCAGAGCCAGAGCGATTCATTCACGTATGGGATAGCACTGTTGTGCACATCTAGCGCGGTGTGGCTTTGCATGCTGCAAATCTCCAGATATATGCGTGCTCCATATATATATATATGCACAATAGTCTCACTTAGTTCATGCAAACCAAAACATTTTATCGGAGTAATAGGGGTTACAATACTTAACGTGATCCATAGAGGTGAAGGCTTCAAGGAACTCTCTCTTCCGTGATGTGCGCAGTTGAAAGACTGGTGAGAAAACGGTCCGCATCTGGTCCATGATAGGTGTGGAGATTTGTTTTAAAAATTTCTTACCGCCATCACATATGTTTATCGCCATGGGTAGTGTGCCGTGTCAAGCCGTGTCAAGCCGTGCCGTGCCGTGCCGTGCCGTGCCGTGCCGTGCCACCCTCCGGGCGGTGGACCGCACGGAAACGAGCCCCGCTGACCGTCTCTTTTGTACAGTTGAACCCTGTCCTGAACAGTCGCGATGCCCTGATGCATGGTTTGTGGTGTCCGCTGGCTCAGCTGGCAACCTGATGAACTGGTCAGACCGTAGTCCGTGAACGGCTCATCTGAGCCGATGAGGTGACAACACTCTCGTGTCCGGGCCACGTAACGCAGCGGGAGAAGCGGTGAACACAGCCCGAACGCTTCACAGCGGCGGAACGGCAGAAATGTAGTTCGGTCAAGGAAGGTATAACATCGACAGCCACCTCATCGGTCTCACTGGAGAGGAGCGAGCTGTTTATACCAATGTAGCGTGTGGGAGCCATGTGGGCTGGCATCAGTGGACGTTATGACTGATGATGATCACATTTAAGGTGTTGAGTACTCCAATATACCTCGCCTTTGGTTCTTTCAGTCCAACGAAGCATACGGCGCCGAGCCAAAGAGCCATGCAACAAAAACGACATAGTTGCCTTTCTCTCTTGACTCCGAAATCTCACGCACTTGGCCTGAGGCAAGGGGCGTGTTCTCCCAGCCCACCTGACTCCGCGCTTTATTGATTGCGTCTTATTTATGAGACCAGATGTGTCCAACATGCACTTGGTAAGCGCTGCCCGCATGTGTATGCACTGTCGGCCTGCTTCGTCGTTTGGGGAAACATATTTCGACCGCTCTGGCACACATCAGCCTACGTGACGGCGTGTTAGTATACAGGGAAACATTGCTTACATACCACCTTCCCCGTGATGGTAGCAATCTCGGATGACCTCGCATGCCAAGATCATTACCACCAGACACTCAGGAAGCACACCACATATGGCGATGTCACCATACCGGCGGCCCTTAAAGCTCAAAACTTGAAGCGTTACGTCCAACGTGCGGCCACATTCAGGAGCATGACATCCAGTCCTAGGTTTAATGCTATTTAGCCCATGAAGTGTCGTGTTCTGAACGAGCTGCATCCAGCGTTTTTGCCGCTGGCCTTTGATTCCAGCCGGGGGACTGCATCGTCTTTCACATGAAGACTGTGCACGGCGCTCCTGGCAACGCTTCTCAGTCGTCCCACCGGCGCGTGCTCTCCACGCGCTGGCTCGGTATGTCACTTGGGGCGTACCTAACATGACGTGAGGTGATTTGATATGACCTGAACCGGCCTGACCTGACCTATCCTAACCTGACCTAACCTAATGCAGGCTAAGCTAACTTTATCTAACATTACCGTGCCTTACGAACTACTGCTGTGTGGAGTCAGTTTGCAGCGAGCAGTTATGGGGTACTTAGCGGGTGATGAAGGACACGACAATCAAGCATCAGCATAGTAGTAGCTGCCCCAAACCTAGGAAAAAGCATAGGCGCCAGTTGCTGTGCAGTGAAACTACCAAATGGTCGAAAGCCACGGCCACCTAACGCTAACTTCCCACCCTCTCCTTCGAGCGTGCGCAGAACCCCGACAGCACAGATTTCTCAGCGCTGTGATCAATGTTATCCAATTCAGCACCAATAGCGCATCTAGCCCACCGATTCAGTTCCCGCAGAAACGGGCAGAGTTTGATTTTGTGGCGACGCTCCCGAAAAGTGAGCTCTTGAGAGACATTTGTTTAGCTTCCATACAGCTCGCAGCCAGTGCCTGCGGATTTCCCCCGGGGCTTGGAGTCCAGCACGCAGCTGATCCCGGGACGTGTTGTTTACGCCGCGGGTCTGGCCGTTCCAGGCGACGACACCGTGATTACAACTCGGCCTTGGGACGTCTCGCCTCCGCTGCTAGCGCCTCTCAGGCCCGGCGACCGCGCCATATCCAAGTACTTTCCTGTCATCTGGCGGCGGACCGAGCAACCTGAAGTTTCTCTGAAGCCCGGCAGCCACGTCGGAGCGATGCGGGAGGCGGACGCTCTGCACCTATGACAACCATGGATCAGCTCGAGGAAAACATATTCACAGGGCGTAGCATCTGATGGCTATCACTCCTTTTAGCTATGATGTTATTATTGAAAGAAGCGACACGAATTAAAAAGTACTGCATGCGTCACTAAATTCACACATTTTGTTCAGCAGAGCTTGATATTTAGTTCCGTTTTTATTCACTTATCGTTATGCACCTCGTTCACTCATATTGCGCTCTTATTCCGGAAAACAGATTATCACACAGCTGAAGCCAGAATTAGACGCCTGCTATCATAGCCGAACCCACTGACCTTACGCAGCGCCTTCTCGGGGACCAATTGTAGTCAAATAAAGCTGGGTGGCTAACGCGGCGACGTGGACTGTGCCGTCGAGACCCATCAGTCTTCATCAGCGGCCACCGCGACTGCGCCAGGCCATCTGGGCCTGATCGCAGGCGGACGGCAGAGGTCAGGGGACACGACGTTGAGCGCTTCTAGTCAGGCAGTGCCTGGGGGGGGGGGGGGGGCAGAGGTCAGGGGAAGCGACGGTGGACGCTTCTAGCCAGGCAGTGCCGGCGGGGGGGGGGGGGACGACAGAGGTCAGGGGAAGCGACGGTGAGCGCTTCTAGCCAGGCAGTGCCGGGGAGAGGGGGAGGGGGGGGGCAACAGAGGTCAGGGGAAGCGACGGTGAGCGCTTCTAGCCAGGCAGCGCCGGGGGGGGGGAGGGGCGACAGAGGTCAGGGGAAGCGACAGCGGGTGCTTCTAGCCAGGCAGCTGTGCCGTTGCGTGCAGATGTTGGGTGTCGAAGCTCGCCTGTTGGTGGCGGCGCGAGTGACCGTGTTTGGCCCGGTCTTCTGTTTACGTCGCATTAGGGGAGTGGGCTCGAATCGGACTCACTGCTGGCGTGGCTGATGTCAGTTTTGATTCAGAAGAATGCTTTGAAGGCATCGCCGGAATCTGACGCTGAATCACTAATGCATATTGGTAGGAGTTTCCTTACTTATTCTGTCGCGTAGATCATCTGGTTCCAGAGGCGTTGTGATCACTGGTTTACTGGGAGCAGCTTGTTGCGCGAACACTTAACAATTTAAAAAGTCCAAGCCACAAATTTGATGTCCATTGTGTCGTTGCCCAGAACTTGAAAACCGTGCTCACCTAGCAACATCAGCTGAGGCCGTTCTGAGACGCCGCAAAAGGTCCAAGGAGACACAGCGGTGTGTTGAAAAGGCTCTCTGCCCTTCCCTCGGTCATGGCCGAGCCCCCAGCCCCTCGACTACCGTGGGGACGGGGCTCTCCGCCGGTCCGACCGCACAGCGCATTCCCGTGCCCGCGGCCGTGCCTTTCTCGTATGCTTTCCTCCTCTTCCCTGCAGTAGCAGCCCGACAGTCCAATCCCCGGACATACCCTGCTGGCCCTGCCCCGCTCCCCGTTCTGTTCCCTTTTCTTGGCATGGCGAAGGCTGTATAGGAGACAGGGCCGGAGACGCTCGGACGGAGCATTGGTAGGGGTTACAAGGGGCTTAAACACGAAATGGTCGAATCTCAGTGATGTCTGAACGGATTTCCATCCATACAAATTCTTTGCGCAGCTTCATTTTTTTCGGAGACAGTGATGCCACGATATCACACCTTATGACGTCAATTTAAAAGAAATGAGCATTGACAGAAGAAAAGACTATCAAAGTTTTCGACAGCATAGTAAACATAAGGTAATAAACCACTTATTGTTGGTACGGTGCCGGAAACGACTAGATGAAAAGCGTAAAATATGGCAATTGACGTCATACTAGTGTGCCCCGCGACCCTTAGCTCTTGTCTCCAATGCGCTCATCAAACAGCCACATACGCGTGCGCGCTTGAGGTGTGCGCACCATCGCTCGGCGGGATTTGCTGGGAACCCGGAGCGTTTGGGATTAGACGATAGAAGATCTCGTCCAACCACGCTTGTTTGCCCATTGACAATAAAGACCAGGTTTTCTTAGCCGCATATTGTGCTCGGGGAAGGCCCAGACGCATACTCCTAAGATACCATATCAATCACGTCAAAAATGAGGTGTAGATATGATGTGTGTCTCTTCGAGGATATGCGGAAACACCTCAGAGGACACACGGTCAACAAACATGGCTCCAGCTGTGTTTTGCTGAAAACTTGCGATTTTGCTGCCGACAGAGTGTGGCAGGCAATGACGTCACGGCATGGTAGGTAACCAATTATTGGGAAGACTGGTTTGGTTCATACCAGCAATGTCTGCATATTCCTGTTTTTCGACTTGGAGGGAAAAAATGTCTACTGTTGGTGTAAGGGAACTCTGTTTTTCTTTTACTGGCAGTATTCACAGCATGCCCCAGTTTTGTATATACCGAGGGCTGTATATGGAACTTGCAGTAGGTAGCGAAGCGGTGTAGATTTGAGTTAGCCCGTTGCTTGTGGCTTTTTCGGTGTCCAACTCCTGTTTACAATGCGAATTTGTCCAGATAACACGGAAGATACATCGCTACATTTGCTTCCCTCACGTCAAAGGGATCTCAACCGTTGAACGTGCCAGCGCTTATAATAGAGTGAATGTGCAGGAATACAGTTTTAAGGCACCGTGTATAAAAGATAAGTTAACTATAAAATTGTTACGAAGCTAACTTTCAGATTATATTTTCTTGAATAGGCTGGAGGAACAGGCTGTGGGCCCACAAAGGGCAGTTGAGAGACAGCCAAGCAAACTTTTCGCCCTCTGTCCCCGCCGGATGGACGGAGATACCTGTAACGAGCTATGCAACGCTATGACACGGCCGTCGGCGGCTTCAGTCGAAGGAGAAATATGACCCTATGATGAGAGTCGGACGCTGGATGGCATCCCCTGCCACTCGCCGGGCACAACTCCGCCACTCGCTTTTATGCCACCGGCACTAGCTAGTTCTTTATCTTCACAGTCGAAACAAATGTCATGATGTCTGCATGCGAGGATATTCTCATGGTACTAATGCAGAACAAAGCTGCTGATATGACACATGCAAGTCTGTACACGAAATATACTTGGACCGTTGGAATCATCGTTACGTTCACTGTTTGCAAATGCATCATGACATGCTAGGAGCGTTAAATTTACGGCACACAGTTGCTTTGAGTCCGGCTGCTGGCTAACTGAAACCAAGCCATCACGTGACAGACATATTCATACTTTGAGAGACGTCCCTGATTACTGCACTCAGTCAGTTTTAATCGGGGTTTTATTCAATGCTCGGAACAACATATGCGTGACCGGGGTGCGTGATAAAATATTACAACGGCATAGGATGGTAACAGCTGCAACGGGGGCATCGGGTGGTAACTGAGCTGCAACAGCGGCGCCGGGTGATAATTGAGCTGCATCAGCGGCATCGGGTGATAGCTGAGCTGCAACAGCGGCGCCGGGTGATAATTGAGCTGCAACAGCGGCATCGGGTGGTAACTGAGCTGCAACAGCGGCGCCGGGTGATAATTGAGCTGCAACAGCGGCATCTGGTAGTAACTGGGCTGCAACAGCGGCGCCGGGTGATAATTGAGCTGCAACAGCGGCATCAGGTGGTAACTGAGCTGCAACAGCGGCGCCGGGTGATAATTGAGCTGCAACAGCGGCATCGGGTGGCATCTGAACCGCAACAGCGTCATCGGGTGGTAAGTGAGCTCCATGGCAGATGTGAATGGTAAACACATGGCGCGGGTGTTTTTTTATGACTTCTACGCTTTGACCAACCAGTTCTCGTCTGGACCCACCAGTATGGAGACCAAGTCACGCTCAAAAGGCGTTAAAAGTAATCAAACAAGCAGGCAAAAGGCCGATGCATTTCATGAAATCTGGTCTTCCCCCCCACGGCCCAACCTCCATTCGAAGAATCGTAGACATTCGCTAGGCGAGCGAGTGATCCAGTCCATTCGAACTAATCCGCATTGAGCTCCATACAAAAAATCCCCATCTTTATTTCGCATCGATATTTATCCTCGACGTCTGCGTCAACGATTGCGACGAAGGGTTTTATGTGATTAACAGAGCTTTTTAAGCGCTCCTATCTTAGTAAGGTAGACTCATTTTCGTTTGCCTCGACGAGCGCTTCATGGAGCAAAAACACCAGCTGACTCGAAGGTGTTGCTGAAAGCCCAAGAATGTATTTTTCTGTTCAGTGAACGAAGTGGAACCAGCGATTGAGTGGGGTATGCTTCTCTCGCGCGTGTTCAGGGCTGTGAGGGTCGCCATGCCTATTGGCCCATTTTGGTCAGGGCAGCGCGAACCCCGATGCTGGCACAGATATGTGAATTTTCTCAGTCCGCACAGAACTTTTATTGTCCATCAGATCCCTAAAGTAAAAAGGTGTGCGTGTAATGCGGCTAAAATAACAGAAATTTGGAAGTGCTATAACCACAGCACATGCATGACTTTCAGTGCCGTTTATGACTGCAGTTGACATATTCTAGTCACATGTCACATGCCACATGTGCAAATACAGTCGGAAACGTTTTATACTCTCGCAGCAGACCATGCACGGACCTTTCCTCCGTAAGCCAGCCGTACCCATGATGAATGCTCATGTCCATCCTACTACACCCTCCGTCCAATCAGCGCTATATTGGCCATGTTTTTAGGCGGCATGCGACCATCAGTTCCATTACCACTGACAACGGCAGGCGTCGGAGCACCAGCAGACATGCGGCAGCCCCCGACGGCGACAGCCAATGGCCGGCTACCCGCCCCCCCCCCCGCCCCCCCCCCCCCCCCCCGATAGCGGCAGTCGTTGGTCGGCTCCACCCCACTAGCATATTGGCAGCCGCCCTGACGAAATCTTAGGATTCCGGGCACTGCTTTGTGGTCCCCGGTGGCGGCCGGCGTTAGATACTGCGACGTTGCATAGATCAATGTCCAAATACAGCATCAAAATTACCACTCCAAAGCCAGGATTCAGCACTTAGCCTCCGCTCTTGACAGGGCGACACGGGCTTCACTCCACGGCGGTTGTTGCTGAGACGCGCACCGACTGCAGCCAGCTGTGATGCGGTGCGCCGACTGCAGCCAGCTGTGATGCGGTGTGCCGACTGCAGCCAGCTGTCCATGCAATGCGCCGACTGCAGCCAGCTGTGATGCAGTGTGCCGACTGCAGCCACATGTGATGCAGAGAGCCGACTGCGGGCAACTGTGATGCGGTGCGCCGTTGGGCGTCAACCTTGGGAAATGGACAGTCATTTTTACGTAGTAAATTGACATGCTAGCTTTACTCAGCTCGTTCCAGTTGACGTCGCATGGTGCCGTCGATAAGAACACTTTCGTCTGAGCGGAGTTTACACCAGATCTATGCAGTACTTGGCCGGACCGCGGTCCGCTTAAATGACACTTTATCGCGGTTATCGAGGGACGGCTCGACGTAGCTGGAAGAGCGTTTGCCCGTGGCCGTCTGCGGGAAGTGATTGATGTGAGCCGGGCCACCGGGCCGCACTTCGTCGTCACCGTTGACAACCGGCATTAG